AACTTCAAAGATAAACTGCTTACCTTTTCAAGCAATAAGTTTGTATTTTATTTTTACAACACGGACTTCAAAGTTTATTTGAGTAAAAGTTTCTTTTTCAATTAATCTTTAACAAAGTTAGAAAATCGAAACAATTTGTGGGCATTTGCTTGTTCGGCCCGCTTTTCGATTTCACAGCAACACCACATAGGACAAGCTGAAGATCAAATTTGCCAAAAACAGTAGAGGATTGACGTTTGTTAACGCTCAAATCTCATCATCGCAGTAAACCCGACGCTTGCCAAACGACGGTGTTGAGAAGAAAAATCGAAAAAGCCTCATCGATGAGATGGGAACATGCCGCGATCGAAAGAGCCGCCATCCAGTTGATCGAGAGATTCGCGATGATCTCAGTTTGAAATAAAAAACTTCTGCCTGCCCTCTCCTATTTTCTCCTAAAAAACTGAAACCTCTGCCCTCTCCTATTTTCTTATTAAATTCACATTTTATCCTACCTGCAACGCCAACTTGTACTTGACTTTTAAATCCTTATTTTTGTGTTTGCTATGCTAGCCTCCTCTGCAGAGAGCTCTCCTCCATCGATGCACCAACACGAAATGCCATATGTCTATAAAAGTGACACACGGCGTGAAGATATACTCGAATAGAGTCTAAAGTGATCTTGTAGTTACCGTATTTACTTTATTAGTACTGAGCAATACTATTTTTTCGTGACGGCTCAGACCGCAGTACTATTAGAGGCGCTCGATCCTCCCCCATGCAACTCGAGTTTGTTATGGAACTTGGCGACAACTTTTGTATGAGCTTGGCCTAGAAAATGGGGTAATAGAAACAACCACTGGTCAAGACGATGCAAAGCTTTCTTCCATCAGTCACATATGAGGCATTTTGTTGGATTGAATTGTTACTTCTGCTCATTTTGCGACTGAAAATAAAATCGCCGAAGCAGAGGTTTACTTTTGAAAACTTTCTGATGCACAGTTCGACGTGTAAAGTTCGGAAAAGGCGTATGAAGACGTTCTCTGATTTCGTTGAGGTTAATTGAGCTGCTGCGAAAAGTTCGAGAAGTTAGTTCAACCGCAAGAGTTCGGAAATTTATTCAAAAACTTTTTATAGCATCAGATATTCAGCGAAAACTTGAAGCTGGTCGTATCACCGAGGCCGTGTAGCCGGGTTTGATTGGATGGGGCACGACAGGTGCGCATCAAGCTCTGAATGAGAACTTATTAATGGCTCTGCGCTCAATACTAACCGCAGAGTTGCTCGACTGATTCGGCATAACGGGAAGTGTTTGGAGTTGAGCACCCAACGCGTTCGCACTGTAAACTCCCATGTGCCACTAGGTAACAAACAATCCAACAAGTGTCCCCGACAGGAAGGCTTAGAAACTTGCTTGAAAGAAGTGGACATGGCTGAAAAGCCATGTCCACTTCTTTCAAGCAAGTTTCTAAGCTTATGTGACTAATTTCATAAAAACTGGTAAATCTAGAAATTAAATTCATTTTAGCAGTTAATGCTTTTTACAGAAACTAAATTAGCTTAGCCACAGTGAGACTATTCAATGTTGCGCGCATTTTGACCATTTTTTACCAAAGTTTTTAATGAAATTAGTCAGATAAGCTCAGAAACACTTGAAAGATGTGGACAGGACTTTTCAGTCATCCTGTTTAATCAACCAACTAAATATCTATTGAAATTACATTTCTATGACAGCTTTAAATGGAATAGAGACATTTTAAATAACGGAGTGTCCGGGCTTGCTCCTGACAATGAGGCGGAGTGAGTTTGACAATAAGGCAACCGTAGTAGTGTACCCCATTTTTCTCTTTTGTGAAAATTTGACCCAAAAGCAAGAGATATTTAGCTGATTGATTCTAGAGAAGACAAATCGTGTTTTTTTTATTTATTGCACAAAAAGCTCACTCTTTGAAATCATTCGAAAGAATCGGTCGAATCGTGGTCGCCTGTAAATGTGTCTAAGTGCTAATTTCAATTTAGCCTACAAGATTCGCATTCGAACTCGTCCAGAAACGATTGTCGGCCACGTTTGGGATCGATGCTCTCATCGTGATATCACATTGTGCCTGGAATTCAAACCATCCTCTCAAATTCGCGCAACTCACCAATGGATTGTTGAAATAATTCCTCGTGATGCTCATCCAAGAATCATTTTGGAATATCACATCTTGTCCTTGATTCTCCAGGAAATAGTTGTTGCTGAGAAGAATATTGTTTTGTGATCCACTCGTCCCATTGGTGAACAATCCGACAGTTGTCGTGAAATTATTTCGGTAAACCACGTTGTTTGTCATTGTGACAATGAAGCGTTGATCTAAAAAAGAGTTTTTGAAGCGAAACTTTGCAAGCTTTGCCGGAAAACCGATCGTCAATTACAACAGAAAACTTGCAGGTGTGCAACAGAAAATTTAGTGTCTTTCAACAGCAGATCTAATGATTTAAATAGCTTTCGAAAAGTTGATTTCAAAAAGGGAATCAAACATTTTCGTTACATTCCTGTGACCTCACTATTTTCTCGTTAAAGTCTCACCGGGATCATCTTGCAAAGGGGTTAACCCGATGAGGAACTCGAATTGAAGCCCATAAAAGCTATTCTCCACTTGAGCGCTGTTCACAAAAATCGAGTTCGTGATTCGGGAATTCGTTTGCGAAGCGTAGAGGTTGATGGCATAGCCTGAAGAGGAGAGGGAAATCGCTTGCACTAGTTGTACTGTACAAACTAGACTTGTAACAAAAACATCTGTCGGTCCTAAAGTTTTTCGTGTTTTTCTCGGCACCAACGCTTCGATTTTGACTATTTTAACTATCATTCGATGCAGAATGCAATTACGCGCGAAATAATACCAAAGTGAACTCAAAATGTAATATCCACTCAAAGTTGTTGGTTAAAAACCTAAACCCCGCCCATAATGGGCCTAACCTTCAAGTGGGCGGGCTTAAAGTGGGCGGGGCGTAGGTTCCGCCCATTATGGGCGGGATTGAACCTTTTGTCTGAAAACTTTACATGGCTATTAGATTTTGGGTTCATTTTGGTATCATTCGACGCGCAATTTTATTCTGCATCGAATGTTAGACAAAATAGTTAAAATGGAAGGGTTGGTGCTGAACGAAACACGAAAAACCTTAAACTGCCAACGGCAAAAAGAACCAACAAGTCTAGTGCAAGCAATAACTATTTCATTTCTAGTTTACCGAGATTTGCATCAAAGCGACTCCGATCAACGACAACGTTCATTTGTCGCGCCGTCGGTGACTTGATCCCACCTGAAAGTCGGAAATAAATGGACTATCAAATCAAGAAAAACCTCCGTTTCCTTTCAAAATGCTGTTGATCACTTGCACCGAACAGGAATAGCATTGATCAAATTCAACTAAATTGCATCAATAAAGCACCAATACAATTTGATTACTTGCAGTTGCGTTGTTGTTCCCCTCAATGATCGAATTGTTGACGAGCAAGTTGAATGGATCAGAGATGTCTTGCGATGTCACATCTGAAATGGTTGGCTTGTCGAAAGGACTAATGTAAAAATATTGCTAGGTGATGCTGTGGTTTCTTTTATGATTATAACCAAATCTTTGCCGGAAATTCACGTCTTTAACAATTTAAGAGCAACTTTTGACAAAGAAAGCTCTTTTTGCTGTTGAATACAATTTTAAAAGCTCTATCAAATAGTAAAATCAAGGTTTTGAAAAGGTGTTTTCCGTTAAGTTACTAAGAACAGATAGAAAGTAGATAGGAAGAAAAGATAGAATACTTACTGTCTCTTGAATAATCGATCGCACCACCAAATCCTAGTATCCCATTTGAGACGAACGATGTGCTGTCAATGTTTAGAGACAAATTTCGATTCAGAGTGCCGGCTGCGAGGAGAATCCAGATTCCCTCATAGTAATTGAATGAAAGATTCGATTTCGTCACCACTGAAACAGCAAGTAAGCCAAAAGACAATGTTTTATCACTCACAAATCGTGCCAGCCACCGCACCAGCGAGATGCATTCCCTGACCATTGGTCTTTGAGGTGAGATTGGTGAAAACGATGTCAGAGGTCTAATAAAAAGAAAATTTAAGAACGTCGGGCTTTGTAGATGGGTTTTTTTAATGAGTAACTCTGGTTTAAAGAATCGTAACTTCTTTTACAACTAAATTAAGCTCATCTCGATATTACTTTGAAGCCCGAGTTCACCTCTTTTCGAATACATAAAAAGTTCTCAGCCTTCGAATCTCTGCTCAGCAATTTTTCAAACCAACCGAATTCGTGATCAAAACGCCGTAATCCGGGGAATTGATGACCACTGAATTGGCGATGGTGACGGATGGGAGTGCGCCCCACTTAAAGAGCTCTTTTATTGCTTAAAACAATGAACAAACCTGTGACACCTGGATTCCGATGTTATTATGATCGACTGTGACGGCGTTGATTGTTGGTGGATTCGTGCAATTTGTCACTGTAAAAGAAACAGTCGATCTAATCAACATTGACCCACCCTTCAGACCAATGGCTGCATGTTTGATGAGTAGATTCGAAATCGAGCCTCCGTCTGAAAAACGAAGTCTTTAGCCATTACAGCGTGACTGGAAAGTTCTGCTACTTTTTGAAAATTGAAGAAAAGTCACAATTTTTCTTGAACAACCATTATTTATGTTTTTTTTTTTACTGAAATTAGCGTATTTTTAGATCTGATTTTGTTGATTTCACTACTGTTTTTAACTTTGATTTTACAGGGTGACGGACCATCATCGAGTTGCACAAGCGTGGATTCAAGAATCCAGACATTGTAGGAGTAACGAGACTGGATGTAACAAAATGAAGGTCAAACGAACAGTGGATCAAGAGTTGCGAGATGATTCGAAGACTTAAACTGCGTAGAGCATGCGAAATTTTGTTGTGAAACATAATCAATTTAATGACAAGATCACTCTTAAAAATCCAATACATGAGTAGCGTGCCGAGCGAAACTCGGCTCTCAACTTTGGAAGGCTATATAAAAAAGTTGAAAGATTGAATCGATTAGATAATGGGCACCGTTCAAGGAGACATACTTAAGATTTACCTCCAGAAAAATCAGAACGATTCACCCAAATTTGGCCAATCTAGGCCCTTTGAAATGCTATAATTGTAGGCCACTCTGTAGAGTGGATTCCTCTCGATTGTTTCCTCGATTGATGCCCTTTCTAAAAGGCGCACCGATTCTCGTAAACTACCGTAATCCTATAGTCAGAGACTGCCAAATTTTGGCATCTTTGACTGAATTTTGTAATTCCTCATCGATTGATATCAAAATTCGGTCATGTCGGGGAAAACTGGGCGTACAATTACAGTAGTCTTCGAGGATAAATGCCTTGGTGCATTAATCGAGTGAAACTCACTCTGTTAACCATTCCTACGGTTGAAACAAACTTTTGCTATTCACTAACTTCTTGTGGATACAGTGAGGCCGCCCCATGCAGAATATGATGACTCGAACAGTGACTTCATCTCAACTGGCATCGACACAGTGCCCAGAATCGAGATTCTCCCTGAAATTGAGCACTGAATAGAAAGGGTTTAGCAGTCGATCAACAATACTTTACAAAACCAGTTTAAGGATTGATTCTTAAAGCTTGCTAGCTTGCTTTATTCTCTTTATAGAAGATCTTCTTTTCTTTTCCTACCTGAGAAATAAAGCAGCTAAGTGAATAAGGAAATGAACGCTAGTGAACTTTGCAATATTTTTTATTGTTTCAGATGAATACAACTCACCATAGACGATGAGCTTGGTGTTTCCTTGGAATACGAACGTGACACCGGGTTGCAGTGTCAGCGTCTCGCCGGCATTCACTGTCAAATCGCCGATAATCAAATAGGAACCCTGTGGGACGGTGTATTGGGTGGTTGTCGAATTGCAGCCAATGCACAGGTCGCTCTTTGAATAGATTTGCGTGAAAACCGGGAAACCGGCGTTCACAATGGCGGCAGCATAAAAGACGAGCAATAGCTGAAACTCAGGGTCAAAAGCACCGATAAAAGCGTCGATACTCAACCTTTGTTTTAAATAATTTTTGTATTTTTCTTTTAGATTAAAAAAACCCAGTCAAATGTATTCCAATTACTTCTTTTTCAAACGTCAATGGGTGCACAACGGAAATTACGTTTTGATCATTTTAATTTTAATCCTAAGATCAACTTTTAAAAAGTTCTTTGGATAGGGTTTGTAATAGTGAGAAGAATTTATGTAAATGTCTATTTTAAAGGCTTTTAAAGACGCAAAATAGTTTCTCTCTGTTGTACATCTATTGACATCCAGTCCTAGTCTCACCTTTATAACGCTATGCATGTTTGTCGAATGTAGAAGGCTTCTGAAGAGTTTTTTAGAAGTCCAGGATAGTCCGTGTACAGTTTAACATAGAAATTTGTAAACTTTTTAGATAAATGATAAGAGCCTGTGTCAAAAATTCTAATGAGATTGTGCTAAAATACCCAAGTGACCTTTGGAAAGTTTCTTCAGTCTTTTTTCAGTATTTAGTTGAAATCATTTGGAGACCACTTTTTATTTGCTTCTCTGAAATGAGTTGTGCGAAGAGAAAGGGTTCCCGATGTTTCTATTTACACAAGAAGTACAAGAATTGCAAGAGTGACTATGCCAAATGTTCCTTTCAAAGGGGAAATTCGATCTTTGAAAATTCAGTACATAAATCAGTACATGTCAATACATTTTCCGAGTTATTCGAGAAATTTACGTCATCCTGTGTGTGTAAAAAGGATTAGCTTAAAAATTGATGTATCATTGATCAAGAATTTGAAAAGTTTTTGGATTAGTGAATTGAAAACTGCCGGCTATTTCGCGGGACTCGCAGATAAAAAACAACAGCATTGAACCAGCTGAAAGGGAGTTTGGTTACTTCAACATTTCCTCAAATTATTGCGAAAAAATTATGCTTCCAGGTTTTTATTTTTTGGTACTTTTTCTTCACTTCTTCTATTGCACTCGACAATCTGCCACCGGGACATATTCGTCATTTCATGCTTCATGAGTTCCTACAAGAGCACAGTGCAGGCTTGGCAGCTGCTAATATTAAAAAGATATATGGGGAGGACTCACCTTCCGAAAGAACGCGTCGAGTATGGTTTGCCAAGTTACCAACGACCATCGGGTATCATCGCGTGAATTGGGAGAAGAGTTAGGGGTTGATCATGCTACAGTGCTAAGGCACCTACATACCCTTGGATTCAAATCGAACCTTGGGGCTTGGGTGCCCCCTGACATCGCTGACCCCCAGAAGTGGCAGCGCGTCTCGATCAGTGTCGCCCATCTCTCACAATACAAAAGGTAATCTTTTCTTCCTCGAATTGTGATAGGAGATGAGAAATGGGTTTTTTCTGTGAACCTTCGGAGGAAGTGGCAATGGGTGGGGCCAGGCGAGAAACCCGAAAGTGACCCCAAGCTCGATTTGCACCAGAAGAAGTTTATGCTCTGCGTCTTCCGGGATATGGAGGGAGTGGTGTACTGGGAGTTGCTGGATAGCAAGACGACCCTTAGTGCAATCAAATACAGTCAACAGTTGGAAAGGGTGAATGAATCCCTGAAGAAGAATAGGCCCTCCAAGTCAAAGATCGTTCTCATCCACGACAACGCGCGCCCTCATATTGCAAAACTGACTCGCTCTAAAATAAACAAGCCTTGTTTGGGAACTTTTGGCGCATTCCCCATACAGTCCGGAACTCGCCCCTTTTGATTACTATTTTTTCCGGAATATGAGTAATGAGCTTGAGGGAGAACAGTTCGATTCGGAAGAAGCAGTCAAAAATTGGCTCCAAAAGTTTTTCGATTCAAAACCAAAATCCTACCACGAAAGAGGAATCCGCAAATTGCCTGTAAAATGGGCAGAAGTCGCCAATAATAATGGAAATTATTTGGAATGAATTTATGGTTTTATGTCGAATAAATTTTAGTTCAAAGTCCGGCAGTTTTCAATTCACCAACCCAATACATTGAAAAGTTACGGTTTCTAAAGTTTTCCTAGGATTTGGTCTGAAAAAGTCTGAAAATAAAATTAAAATGTGGTAGTAAAAGTCAAAGTCATCCAACAGCTCAAGAGACAGCTTGAAAAGAATTGTCAACAAAATTCCACTACTTCATTGATTTATTGACAGTTCTGGTGTGGATTTGGCTAGAAAATAGCTTTCAGACAATTTATTACATCATTTAAAGTCGGGACAGTGATTGAGGAGACCCATTCGGTCGCACAGATCGTTGTTGGCATTCTGAAAAAGTGCGGAAGAGGTGACGAAGAGAAATCACTTCCGTGCTAATTTTGAACTCAACTTTACCTACAAAATCATAGCAAACATCTTTAGAAGTAAATCAAGCAAGGCATGGTTTCTGGGAAAAAGGAGAGAAGTCACCGTATTTCCAGATTGCAAACACGGTCAGTGTAATAAGCGCCCCATCCCTTTGCACGCTCCATTCTCAGTCCTCATTGAAGTTATAGACCTGTGTTATGTACTAAAAGATAGCAGAGATTTAGAGCTATCGTTTGGTAGATAACAAATGCCTATAACTAAAATGAGAGCCGTGAATGGAGTGCCCAAAATTGGTTGAAAGCGTTTGCTTATTGCAGGTCTTACGATAGTTCTGAATGTCAACATTTGAATACCGTATTCTCTCTAATAGTAGTGCACCCTGAGCGTCGCCTAAATTGCTCGAAATCTCGAAAAGCGCTTATCAGAACCTATCGATGTGGGTCCGGAAAATGTAGCTGACGATGAGATCTTGTGGGGATTAGAGTGTTGAGCGAAAACTGCGAAAACTTAGAAACCGTAAAATAGTCATCAACTCGGCTCGGCGGAGTCGACTACTATTAGAGGGAATACGGTAACTTTAATTCTAATTCTAATTTCTCTTTTTCTTGTTTTGTCTAATTTCAAAAAGCGCACAATTCCGGCTCGATCCGACCCGCAACACCACGCGCCCGGATTGTAGCCGCATGCCTGGCTGTAGTAAGGCGCCTAACCGCCGAGGAAATCGTTGAGAGCACTGTAAGGAGATAATCACAAAAAAAACGAAAACGTACGGGCAAACATTTCCACCCTTAGCCACGGCAGCCATCATCACGTCGCTGCAGTTCTAGAAAAGTATCCAGAGTTCTGTACACTTCACGACTCCAACCTCCATTTCAGGAGCGTACGCGAGTCTTGTCGAAGTGATGCAAACAAAGTTGGCCATTAAAACTAAAAGAAACCAAAAGAAAGAAGTCAAAGAGTCTGTGACTAGTGCATAAGACTTTACAATTTTTTTCGGAACGTTTTTTAAAAATAATGCTGCCACCAACAAAATTTCTATTTAAACTATTAAAAAGTTTGATTGTTTCTCTGCAAAATGGCTTTTGAGAAATTCTTGGAAGTCGTTGTTTTTGTGAATTTTCAAAGACGCAAAGGTGAGTACTCAAAACTGCCGAAGTTAAAGTCGAATTCAGCTGAAGTCCGATGCTGAAGTCGAAATTTAGACACGCTTCAATACAAACCGATTTTGGTATCAAAATAAAAAAAGAGAGCTTATTTGATTAAATAAATCTGTAGAATTTGAAAACGATCCATTCAGCGATTTTCTTTAAAACAGCAATTGAAAATGTTACCGAGTTGAGGCGAGAAATGATAGCCTTTTTTTAATAGTTGAAAATGCAACAAATTTGGTAAAAGATTCCTTTCTATGAAAATAAAAGTTTGAAATAGATTGTAAAGACTTATGCACCAAAATTCACCTGCATAACCGGTCGTGCACTGGTAGTCGGCGACTGCTCCATCCGTCAGCCAGTCCTGGGCATCTGAATCGAGCCTTGATTCGGTTAACAGCCACACATTAGCCCAGTAGTCATACATGTAAACATTTTCTCGGCAACACACCTGTTTCATTTCGTCCGAGCGCCATGTAGCACGTGTAGTCAAAGCGAACACCGCTCGAGCAAGCGTACAGAGTGCTGGCCAAACTGAAACGAATACAGGATTAGTGTTGCGTTCTACAAAAAATGATTTTCCCCAAAAAACCAAAAGAGCTGACAGTCTTTTCGTTTAGATATTTAAAATCGGACAATACGGACATTTTTCTATTAGAAAATTTTCTATTGCAAAATTTAAAACTTCTTTCATTATAACTTCTTTCAAGACTTTAAACATGATTCGAAAAAATGAAATTTGTCAAAAATGTGCCCATTTTTGTTAGCCATGATAGACTTGCATTTGCAATAATAGAGCTTCAAAAGCATTACTCTTATAGTAATTAACTCTAAAAACGGATTAGTGTAGAAAAAATTGGAAAAGACGATTTTTGGAGACCTCAAACTCGAACTAACTGTTTTTCAGCATCGAGCCGCATTGCAAACTGCTCGGCTAGGGTTGTCAAAGTTATTCAAAAATGATACAGTTTTCTATTTTATGTAAAATTATGCGTAGATTTTATGATTAAATGATGCTTTTCAGCTTAGATTAATGTATTATCTTAGAAAGCCAAAAAAAGCGGCACTATATATCGAACCCTGTACAGGGTGATCAAAAAATTCCCACACACTTGTAAATGTTACATTTTCTAAATGAAGGCTAAAACAAAATTCTGATGAGCATTTCTATGAATAAATCATTCCGATCAGAGATTTTCAGCCTTTTCAAGAAGCCTTGAACTACATTCGAGGCAAATCGCCCATCAGACAAACATAGTTTTGCATGTTTTTGAAAACTATTTTACGTTTTTTATTTTGACTAGAGATTTTATTTTTCAAAAATAACAATTGAACTGTTACTTTAAACAAAATTCTACGTTTAAAAAGGCTTTTTGAAGGATTTTTCAACTGAAAGCAGGTTCAAATAGGTGAGCACGATGACAGTTTGCCTCCAGCGCACTACAATGCTTCTTTGGAGAGTTAGGTGGCTCTGATCAGGATGGTTTCGGTACAGAAATGCACTTCAGAATTTCAGCTACAAAATACTATTTAGTAAATCGAATTTCGATCTATGTTTTAGCTGACAAATGGAGCTTCTTTTGTAAATTGTGTGGGAACCTTTTGCTCACCCTGTAGATTTTTGTCAGCAAGCAATTTTCAGGCTCTCAACTCACTCGCAGATTTTCGGTTGAACGGTGATCCCTTGGAATTTCAGCAAGCGACCACGAGCTGAGTGGAGATCCCAATAAGGTGGTAAGGTGTCTAAAATTTATTCGAATACTTAATGCTAATTTATCCATGTTTGCGAGAGGTTTTTATGTTTCTATTTAAAGTTCATGAGGCTCAAATTGTTTCAAAATAGACTTTTTCTAAAGGCACATATGTTAAATTGGTCTTTTTGGCTAAGGTCAGAGCTCAAAAAAAGCCATTTTCAGCTGTTTTTGAGTTGTAAAAGGCGAGGAAAGGCGCATAGCATTTCTTGAGAACCGTCAAGGCATTCTGGTTGCAACTCGGCGAGACGCCCACAACAAGGAAGAGCGCTAAACTTGGAACACTTTTCATAGAAACGACGCGAACACGATCTGACTGAATATCTTCATGTTTCTCGAAGTAGTGAAAAATACAGTAAGATTTAAGGGTACGCCCAAACTACAGGATGCAATACTTGAAATTTTACTCCTCTAACTTACTATTCAGCAGTCATTGTGAAACTAAGTCAGAAAGCGACTCAAAACTTGCACTAACCATAGGCCGAGTGGTGAAACGGGCAAAAAACTGACCCACAAAGATGAATCTCATGATTGTTCCGTGAAATCAGCCGAGCGTCTCTCTTTCAGTTTTTTTTTCCATTTTATAGCGAAGAATCTTATCAGCTGATACATCTTCTCATTTCATATTTGCTGCCTCTGCACAAAATCGTTTTCAATTTTTGACTCTAAGAAAGAAAACTGGTGATGGAATGAGGTTCACAAAACGAAAAAGCAAAGTTCTTACGAAGTCTCCAAGGGTACATGCACCCAGAATGTTTGTGATGTGAGTACTTGCAATCAATCTCAATCTCACTCAAGAATCGCCAACACAACTGTTCCATCGAAAACACTGCAGCCGAATGCATATGCTGTAAAAGTAGTGCTCCGAGAGCTCCTTAAAACGATCGAAATCTCTTCAACCGTTGATCCGAACTATCGATGTGGGCAGAGGACACAAATGACAAAGTGAATGCCGTATTAATGAATGAATACCGTACCGTGAATACCGTATAATAGTAGTGTTGTCCGTCGAACCAAGTTGATGGCTATTTTACGGTTTCCAAGCTTTCACAGAAGCTCAACACTCTAATCCCCCACAAGATCTCATCGTCAGCTCCATTTTCCACCCCCACATCGATAGGTTCTGATAAGCGCTTTTCGAGATTTCGAACAATTTAGGCGAAGCTTAGGGTGCACTAGGGAGAATACAGGAATTGTAATACGGTGTTGGCTAATTTTATGTAGTGCCCGTTAAGAATAGTGATCTGGGCAAGATTTCTGAGTGCTGTACTTGGCAGTAAACAAATGAATCTCCAAACATCGTCCGAATCTTCTTTCCCCTTCTCTCCCCTGAGAATTTATAAGATAATTGGTTTTTTGTTGCATTAATTAGTCGAACTAAAACAAAAATTAAGAAGGGAATTACGAATTTGGCCAATTTATTTCAAATTTCCTTTTCAATTTTTGAAAAAGATTCGAAGAAAAGTATTTTCGCTTTGCGAAAGCTCTGCGAATTTGCGAAAGTTAATGCCCGAGTTTGCGTTAATCTCTACGTCTTTTCAAGTTGGCAATAGTAAGTTTTCGAAATCGATTTCCATATAGACATGGGAAAATTCACCTGAACCTAATTCCACCTTCGTTTTTTCAGCCGTCTCTTGCCCGATTGTTCTGAAATTTTGTCTGCAAGCAGAGAATGTCAATTTCTATTTGTAAACATGATTTCAGAACAATGGACCAAGAGACGGCTGAGAAAACGAAGGTGGAATTAGGTTCGGCTTGGAATTCTCCTATGTCTACATCCATAAAAGTACTCTCATTCAGCATTCACCGTCGCCACAGCGAATTTCATTCTCTCATTGATCATATGCACTAAACTAAAGCTTCGAACACAAGGGGAACTCCTCGTCATCGCTTATTATTGTTTCAACGAGGCTCTGAATGGCTACAGTGGCACGTTTTTTTCCTTTCGAAGAGTTCTGATGATCGTGTCGGATGTCGGTGAGCAAAAGATGGCCATTTTCTTAAATGAAACTAGAATTGTTCAAAGGATTACTTATTTTTATCGACACTCATTTCCAAGACTATCCCAGATCCCAAAAAGATCCCAAAAAGACAGGGCCAGGCCAGGACCAAGTGTTCTGAATGGCTGACAAAAACTGAACAAATCATTGTCTTACTTTCTTTTTTAAATTGTTCCTAGAACTTTTAATGGTTTCGGTTTTGATATGGCAGTTTTTTAGTAAAAAAATTTCATGCTGGACTGGCCTGGCTTGAGTTAAAGGAGCCAAAGCCAGTTCCAAGCCTGGCACCTACTCATTTCTCTGCAATCTTTATTTCCACTAGTTTTGGCTTATCATTGATTTCCAGTACCAAAAAATCACTTAAAATACCATTAAGCAGTTTTCAGCTTGGCCGCTTGTCCCGCGAATGACGTGTGTCTTGAATCCGGCGTTTCTGCTTTGGCTTTTCACCGGCTACTCGATTCCGCTCGCCGAAATCATTCTGACTTTTGATCGACTTTGGGCTCTCTATTTCCCACTTTCCTATAGCAGAACGTCGCTTAAACGGGTTTTCATCACAATAAACGGTTTGTTTTGAGAGTTGAAGAATATACGTTCCTAGGTGTAAACGGATGTGGACTAGAATTTGGGTTATGTTAAAGAGAGTGGATCCCTTTTGATATCCCGCCATCTCTAACACCCCGACAACCCAACTCAACTCCTCCAACGTATTAGAGGGGAGTCCCTGTGAAATGACCGACCTGTAGTTGCACTGCAGTTGCATAGACCCGGAAGATACATATCTTTATTTACAGTAATACAATAAGATGAATAGATTAGAAATGAGTGTAAGGGGAAGGGGGGACTCCAAATGAGAGTCTCACTTGCCCTCCTAGGCAATCCTAAGGACCGCCCCTTCTCGGCAATAAAAGGAATAAGCACAGAGGAGAACACATTTGCATAAGATTAGACAAAGCATTCAATAATAACAATAGTAACTAAAATATCAGTTTGGCTCGGAGCTGACAAGAAGAAAAAGTTGAAGAAAAAAGAAAAATTGGTTTGAAGAACTACAGGGTGGCCCACAATGATAGCGCCGCACTTCAAAGAGCCTAGATTGGCCAAATTTGGGTGAATCGTTCTGATTTTTCTGGGGGGCAAATCTTAAGAATGTCTCCTGGAATGGTGCTTATTATCTAATCGATTCAAGCTTTCAACTTTTTTATATAGCCTTCCAAAGTTGAGGGCCGAGTTTCAATTCAATTTTTTCAATTCGTTTCCAAAACTTAAAAGCTATATAAAAAAGTTGAAAGCCTGAATCAATTAGATAATAAGTAGCATTCCAGGAGACATTCTTAAGATTTACCTCCAGAAAAATTAGAACGATTCACTCAATTTTGACCAATCTAGGCTCTCTGAAATAATGCGGCGCTTTTTCTCTGGGTCACCCTGCGAAAGTTTGAAAGCTTTAACAAACCAAGTTCCATCAAATTAAAACTTGGCACTGGGTGCATAATAAACGCTATTAGGATAACTACAAATTTCAACCATACATTTAATTGATTAGCGTTTTCTTGGAAAAACGGGACACCTTTTAAAAAAGGCGAGTTAAAAATCTCTTATGTACGATAGATTATCGTGTAATGTAGATGAATCAATACTTCTAACTAAACAAAAATGACCACTGAAGTGTTTCCCCTTCAGTGATCTCTCTAATCTCTCTTCTTCTCACAATATTTGACATCGCTGAGTCGTGGATCGAGGAAAGCGGGAAAACGACGATGATCTCGCAGGGATGCTATCTTGATGCTTACACAAAAATCACTTATTATGGGTCGTATTTCGCAAAGGTCCTTTTGTATCTCATCTGCTGCATCTTCTACATGCCGGTGCTATGGAAAGTGAGAAAGGTGAGGGCTGGGGGAGTTCTTTTTCCGCAACTTTTTCCCGCAGCTTTAACGGCGAAAACACCGAATATTTGGTGATTTTACCTTTAAAGCTGCGGAAAAAGTTGCAGTAAGTGAGGGCTCTGGAAAATTGTGAAGAACATTGTTGAATATGTCATTTTCAGATCATGAGCACTTCAATGAATCGAAAAATGCGCGCGACCGTGAGAGGATCTCTGGCGATCGGTGAGACTTGGAACAAACTTGGAGCTTTTGGTGACTTGTTCAGTGACTTTTACAGGGCACCGTTTTCCCGATTTTGAGGAGCCTTACAATCTGGCAAAACTACTTTTTTTCTAAAGGGGGGCGAGGAAAATGTGTTATCGGACATTTGATACGAGCCCCGCCCCCTTTGCCATTGACAATCTAACTTTGAGCTCAAATATCTTGGTGTAGGGCTGTTCAATTTACATATTCTTGGTATCATTGGAGGCGTCAAGTCTTTTTCTGTCAATTGGTACAAAAACCATTTACATTGGACAGTCCAACACCGAGATATTCGACCCTAAAGCTAGATTGCCAATGGCAAATTGGCAATCTAGCAATCCGCCTATCCTATGTCCCAAAATCAGGAAAATGAGTACCTGGGTACTCTATTACTTTATGATTGTAGATACTCAGCATAAGGCAAAGAATCAAAAAAGATTTTTGTTCCCAATACAATCCTTCAGGTCTTCTAATCGTGGCTCTGTTGGGGTGCATCATTCTGCCGATTCTCTTCCTCACTTATCTCTTCCCAAGCTCAAACGGATTCCTCATCTATGCCAATCTTCTCATGTTGAAACCCTGGATGAATGTGATTGTTGCTCTTTTACTTTTTAAAGATCTCCGGACAACAATCAGAGAAATCCTATCTTCGGCATTGAAATTGCCCTGTCGCGAGAAAAGTGTTGTCTCTGTGAAATCGCCGTCAACTATTCTGTGAAATCGCCGTCAACTATTTGACTATGAGTGGTTTCTATTGATTAAAGTTTTACACAGTAAATGAATTTTTTAAGTTCCCTAAACGATTTTTAGTTTGAATCTTACAAGAAAAGACTTTTCGGATAAGATGAAAAGAAATAGAATTAACTACTTCAGTGTTTTCCCATTTGATTTTCGTTGTAGCTATGCAAAGCATTTTGTGTGTGTTTGTGTATGTCTGCTCAAGCGAAGTCTATTTTTAGTTTTAATTTTGTTTATTAAAATGGTTGCAAGAGGTTTTGATTTTGAGAGAGATCCATGCAGTATTTTCCAGTCTTGGCACAAGCCCAAAAGCAGGCGCAGGTCTCTCCTGGTGGACAGTCGTTGTCCCCACGGCAAGACTCCTGAAGAGATCATGAATTTACAAAGTTCGTTTTGTTGTGATAGTCGAAAAGATACTAGATTCTGCTACAGATTTGCCCTAGAGATCTAGGATTTCAGAAAACTCTAGCGCTGAAATTGCAAGTAATTATGGGGGGAAATTTTGGGTTCACAAAAAAGGGCATAACTTTCTTTAAAATCGATATCTTTTCAATCTGTTTTTCGTCAAATAATCTTTGATTTTCACGGTTTTTTACACATAACATAAGTAAATCGAGTTTTTGTCGGTTATACATCCACAAAGAATCATCTCGGTTAAGCATCCCCATCCGAGTCTTCTCGGTTATCGATTTTCGTTAGACTGATCACTTCAGACGAGCACTCTACTTCACTGAACATGATCACCCCTCACAAGTTGTCAGCTTCTTGCTTAACCGAGTTGAGTCTCTGTGGATGTATCACCGACCGTAAATCGTAAAGTACCGTAAATCGGTTGTCTAAACAACTCACCCCAGCCGGCTTGATCATTTGGTTGGGAATGGCGATCGATTGCGAGAGCACAAAGAACGAGAGAAGCAAGCAAACGGGCACTTTGAGCATCACTGAAACGACGTTTTGATTGAGTGGAAATGTGATTGGAAGCTTTGAATCGAGATGCAAACGGTGGTCTTTAAATGTTGTGGGAATAAAGAAAAAAAACAGAAAAGAATCATTCGACCTTTCCAGGAGAGATCCTCCCAGCGCTTTCCCTTATCACCAAAAGACCAAGGTCCATTCATTGAGTTCTCGACTCTTGTGATAACGTCATTTTTAAGCTTTACACACAAAAGCCTATTTATTGAAATGGGTTTGGTTTTTTGAGAAAAGACCTATTTTTTTAAATCAAATGAACGATTTCATTACGCAGACAAGATTTGGGTGGCCCATAATTATAGCGCCGCACTTCAGAAGGCCTAGATTGATCAAAATTGGGTGAGTCTTTCTGATTTTCCTAGCGATAAATCTTAAGTAAGTTCAACCTTCGATTTCTCTGCTTTACTTG